TGACACTCGGTTCCAAGCACACGCGCAGGCCGAGGGAGAGGCGCGACCATTGCGGAGTCCCCCGTCTCTCCCTCCCCGGACACTCTCGGCCGAACGTCCCGGAGCAGCGCAGGGTGCGGGACCCCCGTCCCGGCCACCCCGGCCCCTTCTGGCCTCGCGCTCGGAGCAGACGCCCTCGCTGCGGCCCCCCTCGAGCTGCGGTTCCTCCCGAGGTGGCGGCCGGGCTGGCACCAGCCGGGGCCAAGGGAGGGGACAGGAGATTGTCCTGCTAAAAGGGTTGGGGCTCCCTCCCTGCAGCCCCTTGGGGCCCTCAGAACCCCCTGCGCAGCCAAGGGATCCTACAGGGTGCTCAGTTTTCACAGCCACCCCCTTCAGGACAGACTTGCAGCTTCCATCCCAGGAAGCCCTTTTTACATTTTAAAATACACAGCTTTGCTCACCTCCGTGCCTGGATTCCTGTTTTCCACCACCGCACTTGGCTCACTAGCCGGGATGGACCCACCACCTTCATCAGCGCATCCTGCCCCAGGACTCAGGACGTTTTAAGTTAGCTGGAGCTTGCACTAAATAACGCACTGAAGTCTCCATTTTCTCACCTTCACCCTCAGGGGATTATCTAAAATCCCCTCCTTATTTCCTCTTCTAGACCCCGTCCTAGAGCAGGGCTATGTGGGAGATGCAGCAGGAAAAGAGGCATCAGGACTGAGCCCCGCTGTCCCCGGAGACCCGCGCGTGGAGCGGCAGGGACAGCGTCTTGGCGCATCCCGTCATGGGAGCAGAGCGATCAGAGCCCTCGGCTGTGCCCCAGGAACCTGCAGGCTTTACAAAATCATGCAGTTCCAAAAAGGAGAAGGCGAAGAGAAGTACAGATGCATTGGAGAGCAAAGCCAGGCCCGGGGCTTTAGTTTTTAAGAGATGCTTCTTATTTTGGCACTTCGGATACGGCTATTCTCTAAAGGCTGGGTGTTTCCATGAACACTTCACTCTATAAAGGAAAAAAAATGCATTGATTTGCTCGAAGTTATGTTAAATACCAGGGACCATCATTATCCCAATGGGGCCCCGTGGTCACATCAGTGAGCGCGCTCCGGGCACGGCTGTGGGATTAGGCAGGGATTTGCCCTTCCCGGCAGCACATCCCGAGGGAGCAGTGCCCGGAGCAGCGCTCTGCAGCAAGGACGAGGGGCTGGCAGGGCCACTGTGGGCACAGGGTGCTTCCAACAGTCAATTTTTATTCCCTTTAAAGCACACGCAGGAGGGCAAACCCTATTTTCATTTTTTTTTCTTCTTTCTCCCCCCCACCCCTTTTTTTAAGGAAAAAATAGGAAAAACAAAATCACTGCAGCACTTCTATACTGCATGGCTCTTTTGTGTGTGTCAGGCAAGCAGAAGGGCCCCATCCCCAGCGTAGCATGGGCAGGGAACGGGTGAGCTGTAGCTGACAGCAGGGTCTTCCTCATGACAACGGGAAAGCTGCTGCTGTTCCTCTGCTATTGATCTAAGCAGAATACAAAACACCTGGAGTCAGCAGGGAAAATAGCTGCAGTTGGAAAATAAAATGGGGGAGGGCTGCTGGAGGGGGGAGCAGGTAAGAAGTTCTCCATGCATAAAATTAAAAAGGAGGCTTTTTATTGCGGCTAGTGTGTCTGACCAGGCTGCTGGAGCGATGCACGGAGCAGGAACCCTGCCACGGTGTTTGCGACCGCTCTCGTGTCACAAACAAAAGGGTTTGCTCCCGTGTCTGCCAGCAACTCGCCACCAGCGCCTGCTCCCTGCCACTGTGCACGAGCAGGGGCTGTACCTGCTGCTGCCCCCACAGCTCCTTGGGACGCCGAGATCCGCCTGCTGCCTGCGGTGCCAGGGCGGCCGCTCCGAGCCCCGGGACACGGGGCCTTTCCCCGTCCTGGGAAGGATGGGCACGGAGTGCACATGGACACGAGCGCGCCCAGGCCCCCGCCACCATCGCCAGAGCAGGAGCTGGAAGGAAAGTGGTTACGGCCCCTTCTAGCCCGGCTCATCGCTGAGCTTGAAAGGAGCAGGCACCCAGCCAGCTCTCGTTCGGGAAGCAGCTTTCTTGGGAACCTTCCCTGTTGTGACAGCTCCAACATTACAGGCACTGCCAGAACCAAACCACTCCAGGAAGAGCTCCCCTCCCCCTTCTGACATTGACAACCAGGCACCACCGCTCGCAGGAGCCCGCTGAAAATGTCACCAAGACACAGGCGGATGGAGGACACCAAGGCGTCCTTCCCCCGCGCTGCAGGTGACGCCGGGCTGGGCTGCTCAGCCTTTTTGTTGTCCCTGTCCTGCGCTCAGCGCCTCACTGCAACGTGACAGCCTCTAATCGCTCAGCGGGAGCCAGAACCAGCGCCGCCGTCGATGCTGGTGCCGCTCACAGCTGCGCACGGGCTCAGCCGCCCGGCCCGAACGCGCGTCCCTGAGCCCTCCCACCCTCTGCTTTAACCTTCAGGTCTTTCTGTCGCTTGAAAGCTGCATTTCCTTATCTCTCCCTTGCCGATCGACACATATTCAATCCACAGGGCAACTCTTCCGTTTAAAGGGAAACCACGGGTTTCTCGGGGACGCAGGGCACGCGCTGGAAGAGCTCTGAGCCAGGCGTGGGTCATGAGCTTCCTCGGCTATCAAATCCACAAGAAACAAAAAGGTTTTGCCAGCCCCACAAGAGCGTCTCATCAGTGTGCTGCAGCGCGGCCCGCGCGCCTCCCAGCACAGCGTGCGAGGGCTCGTTTCCCCGCGGCACCAGAAGGCAGTTTGCTGACATCCTGCTCCCATTTTGCTCAGAGCCAGGAGCCATTTTGAGCCCTTCGCAGTCTCATTCCTGGCACTGCGAGCCGTTACCTTAGAGAAAAGCGACCTCAGCAGCAGAGCCTCCGCTGCTCCTCTCCCATCTGCAAGGGCAGATCTCGCCTCTGCCCCTCTGACCCTATTCCCTTGCCCAAGTTGCATAAATAACCCCCCCACACACACATTTTCTGAGATGCTTCTAATCATTTCCACCCACAGTTCAAGCACTCGGCTTCCCCTTCCACGCTTCCTTTTTTGTCCAGCCATCCAGCCCAACATCTGACCTAATTAGTTAGTTGATCCTCAATTCCAGCTGTGGATGCACATTGCTTTGTTAGAGCAGAGCTGTCTTTTAGAGCAAGAGTTTAGCTCACACAGGATTTGAAGTGGAGAAGCCTCAAAAGGCCTTCAGCTGAAAAGTGTCTAATGGGAATTTCTGAGAACAGTTCAAACGGATTCTGAAAATAAGCAGGCTCTGACTTGAGGCCTGGTAATTCTGCACCTTGGAGGGTAGGAAAGTGTTTGGGAGCTCTTCCAGCAGAAAGTGAGCTTGTGATATCCTGTAACAAGGGATCATCTCTGGGTCTAAATGTTCACGTCCAACACACTTTAAACAAGAGAAACATCTCAGAAAAAATCTCTCAATAACCTGGTGGCTTCAGGGAGACGACCTTGGGTCTGTCCCACAGCCCAAGCCACCGAGGTTCTGCTTTGCAGGGCTAGGGACTATTTGAGAACACCAAAAAGCCAAGGAGAAGCTCTTCCCCCTACTGTTTTCTGCCACTCTACTCATCTCCATTTCTTTGATCAGTTCATCCTCCATTCCTCCCCGCTCAGTATAACGCATCTCGGAATAACCACTTCACAACACCACTGCTGTGTTCCTTAAAGCACATGCAGCAATTCTGTCTTCCCCGGGAAGCCCCTGTTCCGCAGACACCATCCAGCCCGGCCAGGTCCCCTCAGCCTCCCCTTGCCAAAAACAAAGCCAGAACAGTCCCACAAACAAAATGACACCACCAAAGAACTAGAACAAAGAATCATTTAATTGCTTAACCCTTTCTCTTCCAGGGACTAGAGAAACAAGTTTTCTGCTCCTTCTAATGAGGACAGTAAGGCTTGTGTGTTACCTCTACAACTGCAGGGGCAGAGTTGACGAGATGATCATCTTTAGTACTTGAAAAAGCTAGAAGCAATGGTCTTTGCAACACCAAGAGAACCCTAGAGTCTCTGAACAGAGAGCCCATTGCTAAAATACAAAAATAAAGGAGGCATCCCTGCATATCCCAGGCTAGAAAGAGTTAATCAGAAAGAGCAGGAAGAAGCTTTCCTGAAGAGGGGTCAAAGTAAACAGCAGAGGTCAATAAAGCAACATCTTTTCCCTACTTCCCCAGCACGTTTTTTTCCTTCACCAATAAATACGAATTCCTCATTAACAAGCAACAGAGCAGGCAATCTGCCCACAACAAGGGGAAAAGGGGCTAGTGACAGAGAAATGTTTCTCTCCCCTTCTCTCCCATTATTATTTAGCATTTTATCCAAAGCAGCCATTAAAAAAAAGCAATCCACTGCAGAGGCAGGGAATCTGGTAGGCTTTCACGCTGCAACTGGCAGGTAAAAGAGCTGCACTGTCTCACGAGGAGAAAAAAAACAACAAAAAATAGCTGCCACAGCAAAAGGTGAATGGGGAGGGAGAGGTCTGTTCCTTTCAGAGCTTCCAACCCGAGACTCTTGGTTTAAAAATCGAAGTCTGTGGGTGTTGTCTAGTAAAAGCTGAAAAAAGTTTGGGGTGGGAGGGGAAGGGGGGAAGAGGTGTCTAGTAGGAAAGCCTTAAGCAGAAATAAAAGGCAAGACCATGTCAAAAAGCCACCCAAGTGAGAAGGATTTGCCGTTGCCTCTGGGTTCTGAAGAGCCTCGGGTGCACGTGGGGCAGGAGGACGCACACAACCAGCCGGGTCAGCGGAGCGAGCGGGCACCCACCGCAGCGCTGCCGAGCGAGCCCCAGCAAACGCTCTCAGCGGCTACGCGACCGTCCCAGGAGGGCTCTGCTGCAGCGGCAGTGGAGGGTGGGCCGGCTGCAACGCCAAAACAGGAGTCGCCATCACGGCTCCGGAGGGCACGAGCGCGGCTGCTCCCTCCTTGGTGGCGGGGGACGCTCCCCGCGCCGGCGCTCGCTCGCGCTCAGCTCCACCTGCACACGAGGGAGCGGACGGAAAGCTTCGTCCTGGGAGCACGGCAGGTCCCGAGAGCGCCGCTGTGACTGTGGGGTGGGACGTCCCTCTGGGCAAGGAATAGCACCCTTGGAGAGAGGCTGCCTGCTACGAGGCCCCGGGACCTCTCTTGTACAAGGCTTCCCCACCGCAAAGACTGTTTTGGAAGGGCGAGGAAGCCGTTACCTCGATGAGCCAGCACTGTGCAGTGTCTCTCCTCCCCACCTGGCAGCCAGGGAAGGAAAGGCAGGCCTCATCCTTCCACAGCGGGGACAGGAAGACCAGAGATTGCACCACATGGAAGAACAAGCCCAATGCAGCACACGCGCACACACTCCCACACACACGTCTGACACCCCTGGGACCACGGCTGGCATGTTCAGACCTTCAGCAGTAAGAGATAAGAGACAGTGCAGAGCAGTTAAGATCTCCAGGGGCTCTTTGGTCTTAGTTGATAGTCCTAGAAAAAAAAAAACAACCTCTTCAGCTCCAGTTGTAGCATAGCTGCGTAAGATCTACTTGATATTTAGTGTTTGGCAACTGCAAGAGGGGAAAAACAGGGCTGTGTGTTACATGGGAGGGGAAGAAATGGAAGTTCAGTGCTGCATTTCTAGGTGCATTTCTGGCTTCGCAGCTAGAGTCAGGGAGGGAGGGGAATGGGAAGAGGAAGCCCGGTTCCTGAGAGGAGCACTAATCCATCAGATGTTACACCAATAACGAGGCAGAGGAGGCCCATCTTGGTCAAGACAGAGCAGCTGGCTGCACTAAGAAGCTGCTGTCTAAAAGCTCAAAACATTAGTTGCAAGAGATACGTGGTGGCAACGTTCTCAGCTGCAGCACAGGTGACAGAGAGAAGGTGGATATAACTGCACGCAGTGTGGGTAATAGAATCTCTGGAAGGATGCTGGCACCAGCCCCTTTCCTCAGTAGCTTTAGCTGCGTTAAGTCTTAGGCCTCTGATCAAACCTCCTCCCACTGTTGCCACCTTTCTCCACAAGTTCATAATTCATAGGAAAAAAGCAAAAAGCATCACAGCTGGGTAAGCATCTCCTGCCCTGCTGAGCTGCACATATTCGGTGCCTCCACTGATTCATCCCTACGACAGATGCCCAGGGACAAGAACAGGCAATGTCCACTCCTTAACACAACACAGATGTGTCTGGTGAGGACATGTTAGAGATGGAAGCCAGAAGACGTTATGGGATAACAGGTGTTTCATGGCCAAAAACCCTAACCCAGGGCCCCTACACAGGCTGGCAGCAGAATGGCTAAGCCAAGCTTCCAAGATCAAGATTACTGCAGTAAAATTATTCCATAACCCCTGCCCTAGGTTTGTATTTTATTCAGGAATTTAACATCCTCTCTGCAAACGCATGAATGCAGGCAATATCCCTCTGTACCAGGTCATATAGCAGCTCTGGAAAAAGTCACCAGCTTACACTGCTTACAGACAACTCAAAGATCCCTGCCGGGACTAAATTCCGCTAAAGGCAAACGCCAGACTGCACCGCCATGCTGCTCAGTAGTGTGACGGGAGGAGGAGGTGGTGGAGGCGGTGGTGGTTTACAGAGACGGCCGCTCCTGCCCCTGCCAGCTTGTCCTACTCTGTGCATAGTGCGAAACAGTGCAGTCATTCATCAGAGAAACTTCAGGACCAAGGAAACTAGGTTCCCTTTCAACCAAACAATTAGAGGAAGGAGAGGCGGTTCTGTTTTAGCTGGGTCGGCACTGGACTTGCCCCTCTGAGCTGTCTTCGTCGTCTGAGCCTCCAGCCCCACCACTCGTCAGTCCTGTAATCCGGTACCCCATGTTCAGCAACATCACCTCCAGCGGGTCTGCGTTCATTCGTCTCTGGTTGGCTTGGGAAGCACCTTCCATGTCTACCACCACACGGCCATTGAGGGTTTCACTCTGCAAGACAAGAGAGGAGAGAACTCAGCAAGACAGCACAAGCACCAACGAGGTTATTACAGCTGCTGCAGCTCTCAAGGGGTCAGAAAGGCAGGTCTGGGTTACATCTTATGCCACCAAGATGCAGCCTTTTGCTGTGGCTCTTACCTCTGGCCTGGGATTCCACAGCCGTACAACTGGATCAATGCCACTGGTGGCCAGGAAGCAGTAACTGGGATGAGGCTGCAGACAATTCACAATCGACTCGTCTCCCTGCAGCACTCGAACAAGATTTGTGGTTTCTTTCTCCCAGATGAAGAACGAGCCGTCATCCGACCCGCTGACTATGTACTGTGCATTGCTGGGGGAGAGGAGCAGAGACTGGAGAGCACAGCTCGGAGCAGCAAAGCTGCTCTCGAGCAGACGTGAGAATCTCAGCTGGCTTCTACAGGCAGCAGGCTGCCGCCCCTCACACACATGCTCAGGAATCCAAAGCTTTCCATATTGCTTCCCTCCAGCCCCAGAATCCATGTTTTTCAATTCCAAGTATTTTTTTTTCTGAAGACCTAGGCTAACCGTGGGCTCTGCGGATCGGCTACTGAACCTGCTCTTCACATGGCCACATAAAAAGATTTCTTGTTATCTTATTCAACCCTGCAAACCAGTTCTATCTGTATCAACGTACCTGCCAAAGAAATTGGCCTCTTTGATGTCTGTAGTAGTGTTACAGTGGCCACAATACCGGAACTTGTAGTCGTAGCTGCGCTCCCTCAGCACCATCTCATCCTCCGAGATCGAAGCCTTACGACCTGTGGCTCGCAGCCGGATGGGGCCACCCCCCTTCTTGTCTTCAGCTGCAAGGACAACAGATTTCCTTCATCACAATTTGGGCAGGAACACACTCCAAGCAAACAGAAAGCACTTTAGGAGGCCTCACCAGGTTTAAAGAAAAGTTAAGGACAGTTTCAGCAGGGATCAGGGCTTAGACAACAAGCTTCCCTTCAGATTATCTCTAGGATACAAAGGGTTTCTTTATCATACTCTCACTCAAGAGTGAGCCAGGACCAAACCTAAGGCAAGAAAAGCCTCAAGCCAGTTTCTGTGCACAGTAACCATTGGTCTCTCTCAGAAGTTTGAGCTTTACTTCACAGGGTCAGGTTAAGAAGAAAAGAAAATGAGGTTATAGTAAAGTTTATGCATGGAGGGACCTGCCTAAACACTGAGACTCACCATTATCACTCTTGGAGAAGAGGGCCGCGTTGATGTCTCTGTCTAGTGCATCGCAGGCACTGCTATGTGCTTGTTCTGGGAACTTCCCTTTAAAGTCATCCAGACACTCCAGTGCTTCTGCCACGTACTTGAGCTCAAACAGACAGCGCGCAAGCCGGAAGTGCGCCTTCAGGTGGCACGGATTCAGGGATATGGCCTTCAAGCAGTCTCGTAGAGCATCATAATGGTCCCCATCCCTGGAAAAAAAACACAGGCAGGGTCACCTACAGCTCGTGGCACAGGACTGCGTCCAAGCGGGTTTTGAAGATCTCAGGAGAAGGAGACCCCACAACCTCTCTGGGCAGCCTGTTCCAGGGCTCTGACACAAAATAGAGAGTCCAGGAAGAAACAACATGGTCTTCTGCCATTTCCCAGCCCTCGCCTCGCTCCAAGGCCTGCTGTTTGCAGCTCTCTCTAGTCAAGCAGGCAACCCACAAGTTCATGCATTAACAGCATTTGCTGTCTCCTGGGGCACCACCTGAGCAAGCCCAGCTTGTTGAATACACCTCCCCACAGAGCCCCTTTCCTGTGCACAGGCAGCCGTGGAACATGACCACACAGCAAAGCCTGGCGAGTCTTGACCTGCCATTTTAAATCCTCCAGAGCAGAGCTCACTGACATAATGCGTTTAGGGAAGTCCTTTGAAGATGGAGGATGCACAAGGCCTCTGGCCAAGCAGAGGCAAGGCCGCTCCCGCAGAGCGCGCGGGCCTCCTCGCCACGGCGGCTCGCGCGTGCCCCTGTGTGGACGCACGGCGCGGTAGCACGTCTCCCTGCCCCTAACCATGGCTCTCCTTCAAGAAGCGGCTGGAGAACCACCACGCTTCACAGACCATGGGCACAGCTCTAAGGCAGCAGTCTTTTCTCACCTTTCTAGAAAAATAAAAATATATACATATACATAAAGGCTTAAAAATTAAGTGTTACAACAGCTTTGTACCATAGCAGATATTTATAACCCCTTTACAGACACTGGAGATGATGCTTGATTCCCCTCTGCTCCATGGCTGCAGGAATAGCAGTGCCTCAGCTTGAGCTCTGGAAGCAGGAAGGATTTGACAGGGTTTGCAGGCTGGGATTCGGCGCAGCACAGTCTGTCTGAAATGTGCCAAGTCTGCAGATGATGGCAATAAATAAATCACTGCGAGGGGTCACACCTGTAACCCAAACACTGTGGGTTTGCTCTCGTCTGAAACGGCCCCAAGGTGGGCGAATTGTCCCGTACTTCCCACAGGGTGGCACTTTTGGCTCCTGCGGAGCCTTTGTCAGGAGAGAGGTACCCCTGTATCTCTATTAAAGGGAGCCTCAAATCTATGGGCTACATGCTGAGCAGTGCTACAGGCAGGCTCTGCAAACCATCCATCCCACTGCTCTTTTGCTCCTCTGGGTGGATACTGGCCACAAATTACAGCTCAGTAGCAGTGCAGAAGGTGGCTCGTCCATGACGTCAGCGGCAATGCAGAAGAAACGCGGCTCGATGGCCGCGGCCCCTCCAGCTCCGCGTCACCAGGGATCCGGGAGGCTGGACGCACAACAGCAGGCGACTCCACTCAAAAAAAGGGGAGTGCAAGTTACCTGTTGTGATGGCAAAGAGGAATCTCCTGTCTTTGAAAGCTGGGTGGGTCATTAGCTACTTTGGCACACAAAAACAATCCTTCAACCCCGACTAGCAGAGCCGGGCAGCCCAGCACACCGGAGTGGAAATTCACACGCCGGGATGTGACGCAGGTGCTGCCTTCTCCCACACAGCAGTTTTGCCCTGGCTTGTGCACAAATGCTTTAAGTAGAAGTCAGCTGAAGCACTGTCAATATAGAGCACTGGAAGTGAGCTGGGCAGTGATGCAGGTGGCTCTTATGAGCAGCTTTTAGGAGGACAGCATTGGAAATGTACAGAGCAGGGGAGCGAGGAAGGGGAGGTTATGGAATTACAGACCTTCCTCTTTCAGCCCTGGTTGTTGTTCAGAGAGGAGGCCGAAGTGAGGCCTGCGAGTTTTACAGGGTGGCCTTGGTGATGCCTTGGGGGCGAAGGGCGCCTTAGAGACGCAGCGCGGTTCGACGCGGGTCACAGTCCAGCTGCCGCCACCAACTCTGCGACATCCCAGCCCCCACCTGCCAAACATCAGTAGCTGTTTCTTGCAGAAAAATGTCCCATCTTTTCTATTCCTGAAAAGATACCAGCTTAGTACCAAGTACCATTTCTAATCACTACAAGTCACAGAAACCCATCATGAATACATTTGCACATCCGCCAGCTACAGAAAACTGTAGCAAGCACTAGTTGACACTCAGAAAGGAGCAGTTTGCTTTCAGATCTGCCAACATCCTTTGGGAAAAATGACTCCTGCAAGAAAAAAGTCACTCATAAGATCAGCACACAGCTTCTATCTTCCATTCCTTAATCCCGCCCTATTGTTCTTTTCCCTCTGAACACTGAGGTCTTTTTGAGGCAGCTCCCAAAAATCTCTACTATTGCAAAACAGCCAGTAGGCCAGTTACCAACAGCCACAGCAACTGCTGGCTGCTCTTTGTCTTGGCAAGAGGACGGCAGAATTCATACTGGGGATTTCAGTGGGGAGAAGAGGAGAATATCCTCACAAAGCCAACGTCGATGAAGGACCACGTCTATTTTAAATATCTTAATGGTAAGTCATGTTACCCAGTCTTACTCTGCTCAAGGGGACAGATACAAAAATAGCTCGGCTGTATCTTGCAGAGGCAGCTGTGACTATTGGTCAGAGAAGACATCAGCTACTGCAGAGACAAACAGGGTAATTCACAACAACCATGACTGACGCCCCTCCGGACCCTGGGGCACAAGCTGCCACCTCACCAGACCCCTCAGGAAGGTTTGTTTCCAGTCAATCAGACTATGGGGAAGCTACAGTAACACAGGAACCACCAGCTCACATCTGTGTCTAGCTCAAACACTAGTCACTAGGTTCAAGCAGCAACCAAAGCAAATCCAGGCAGTCCTACAATAACCTTAGATCATGAGATGTGAATTAAGAAACACAATAACAACAAGCCTATCCTTTAACAGCAGATTTAGGGACACACTCTCATGTAGACCAGAACTAAGCAGAGAAAAATGGGCACCTGCAGACACTCAATGTTATCGCTCAGAGGAGGATTTGTGGTTTCTTTTTGAACTGCAAAGGACCAGGGCAACTCAGCACACCAGCGGGCAAAATGCTGAGCTACTACCAGCTGTGCTTCTCTGCGTGGCCTCGGTGTCCACGGTTCTCCAACCCACACTGCTGTGCAGCCCACTTGTTCTGTGCTCGGGGTGACCCACTTACAGCTTCTTCCCATTAACCCTGATTCTCACGTAGTGGGGCCAGGTGCCTTGCAGGGGACAGCAGCACCTGTGGCACGCAGAGGTCAGACAGCAGTGCTGCCTGTGACACTACACTCTGACACTGCATCCCACACAGCTCTGCTCCCTCACCATTTGCGCTTCATGTAGGCAGCAGCTCTGTTTCCATACAGCATGGCGTTGTTGGGGGCTTTCTGGATTGCTCTGCTGTACAGCTGGATGGCTTGAGTCCACTGCTGACAAGCAAAGGCCTCGTTGGCTTGCTGCTTAATTCTCTCCAGGTAGGGAGGCAGCTCAACCTGGGGACTGAGGGGGGAGAAGGAAAGGAGCACAGTTAAGTCTCACAGGTTAACACTCCAGTTCAGCTAAATATCCAACGGGTTTTATTCTAACATGGCAGATTCCAGCAAGCATGGCTAATACCAGAAGTTTCTGAAAAGGGCAGAAGAGACTTTCCTGCTAAAAAAACAGGTTCAGTTAGTCAGGTAAAGGTTTCCTTATGACCGTTTTTTTTAAACTCAAATTGAACAGTGAGCAGCCTAAGCACCTAATCCTTCAAACTTCAACGGTACACTTTACTTTGACAGCATAAACAACATTTCCAATCCTGTTTCAGCAATGCGTAACTGAAAGCAAATTCGGAAGGAAATGAAGCATCTGAGCTCACAGGGCTGCGCAAGGCTCATGCTCAGCCAGCCGAAATTCCAGCCTTGGCAACTCTGCTGCTGTGATGGAGGGGCCACCTAGAGGAAACAAACTGAAAATATTCAGCAAAGCCACTTTGGTGGAACCTAGACTACCCATATATGGCATTAAGTAACTGTGTCTTGACTGTTAACCATGTCTCATCAGCTGGAGGAAAAGCAGCCAGCAAGATGGGCTGCAAAGTCTGCTTCTGCTTCGCCCCCAGCTGCATTCTGCTCATAAAGAATAAAAGCAGCAGAGCGCAGAGGCAGCGGAAGAGGCCTCTCCACCCATTCCTAGCTCAAATGCAGACTGTGAGAGTAATTACTCCAGTGTCATTAGCACAAAGCAATTTTGGTGGCTCCAGTTCAGTTTGTAGCAGGCAGGAGCCCAACAAAGAGCAAGAGAAAGAAAGACTCTTGGTATGTGACCGTCTCCACACAGCCCCAGCAGGTCAGGAAGTTAAGAACCACTTAGGGCAACTAAAAAAGACCTTGTTTCCAGGTCTGAAAAGTCACTTTTCAGTTTCGTCAGCTGCAATTCACCATAAAAAGGGACAAATCTTAATGGGCAGCATTTCTCCCAGGATGCTGTTGCCTGATGTGACTCCTGCTCATAGCTCACTTACCAGCAGCAAAGACAGCCCCTAGGCCAGAGACCCCTTGATAACCAAGTCAAAACACCAAGTAGACTTGCATTTTGCACCTTGTTTAGCAGCAGCTAACCTCAGCAAGAGGAAGAGACTGCGAGCAAAGCCACAGGACTTTCAGTTAGGCAGATTTATCCTCTTACCTCACATGTCCTCGTCCTTCAGACAAGCGGAAGCCATTGCTGTGCAGGTGGATGCCATTTGACACTCCATTTGTCGAGGTTTTTCCATTCTGCACTTCTGCGGGTTAGGAAGTAGGAAAAGAAATAAAACAGGGATCAGACCATGCTGTGGCTCAATGTAAATTAAACAATCCTACCTCTGAAATTTTGGAGTTTTACTCTGGAAACAGTGAAACACACACAAAGAACTATACACACACACAGATGGCAGTTCGAATCAAAATGACTTCGGACTGAACCTAGGCCATAAGCCGAGTACCTGGCTGATTGACTTCTGTGATTTAAAACTACAGCTTTAGAAATCAACATACTTTTACATACCTTTGCATTTTTTTTCCCAGTGCATTGAAACAAAGTATCATGGACATAAATTCCAGAACATTTCAATCTAGGAATTCAATGTACGAATTCTAGATTTTTTTTTTTAGCCCTACAGCTTAAAGGGTAGTCCTAAACTAATCTGCTGAAGGTCATATAGCTGCCTCAACTGCCATTTCCATAGAAAGCATTTGGCTTTGGGTTTTACAAGCTGCCTGCATTTAGGCTGCAGCTGGGAGTGGTCCTGGAGCCATTTTGAAGCTGGGAAACTGGGGCAATGTCCGACCAGGCTTCGGAAGTGTACGGAAGATTAAGCGTGCAGCAACATGCATACACATAAAGCTCATCTTTCACATGGATGCCACCTTTTTCCACAGCTTTTGCCCAAACTTTCTGTGCCTGGCAGCGTGGAGCATTTGCTGCAATTGCACTACTGTGAGCCTGGTCAGACTCCATGCTGGCTTTAAAGCGTGACTGCACCAGACACCACGGGGAGGATCACCCCTGTGCATGCAGGCCAGGTGAGAAAGGCAGGCAGGGCTGGGAGTCTATTTGCTACCACATTGTGAGCTTTAGATTAAGGCCCAAGGTGTGCTGAGGACGCAGATCAAACGCGGCCTGAGAGCGCTCCGAGAAAAGGGAAGGTGCTGGGCTGGGAACACTCCCTGGAAAGAGGAGCCCCTGCCTCCTGCATGGAGCTCCAGAAATTCAGTGCTTACTGCCCACACTATCTGTGTGTGAACAGGCCTGTAAGAAACAGGGCCAAGAATAAAAAGGCTCCTCAATTTATTGACTTTATCAAAGAAATGACTTTTTGTTGCAACTATCCTATCACCAGAAGGGAGATTAGTTCTAGACCAGAGTCTTTGGCTAGGGAATGGATTCTTCTGCCTCCTCCTCAGTGGATGTATAAGGGGATAAACAGATCCATTCTGCATTTCTCTGTGTCTTTCACCATCTTTCATGATGGCATCACACTTACCCCCTGAAGTATGGCACTTCTTTGGGAGAAGAAAAGTGTACGGTCGCTGTTTGTAAGTTAGGTCAAACAAATAGACCTAAGAAATAAAGAAATGGGACAAGAAAAAAAAAAAAAAAAAAAAAAAAAAAAGGTAAGAGAGAGTAAAACAGATTTCAGTCATGGAAATAAAAGGAGGGCAGGTGGGTACATGACTCCACACACTGTTCATCCTTTGTTATATTCAAATTTCTAACTGGGTAACTTGTTTATGGACATGAACACACTGGATAACAGCACTATCAGTGTCCCATTACATTTCAGCACTAGGTGGAGGAAAAGCAACACTGAGAAACAGAAGCCTTGTATTTCTCATAAGGTAACGAAATCCTCAAGAGAGCTTAAAATGTGACCTGACCAGAAACCAATTTGTTCAAAAAAATGCAACTCTAAGAATATATTAACTATTCTATTAGCAAAGAATATATTAACTATTCTATTAGCACAACAATTTCATACAAAACAAACATTTATGGGCAGAAAAGAGGCAGTTTACTAAACCAAGGCAAATATTTCTCTGAGCAGAGGCCAAGATTTGCAGAGAAACTTAAAAGCAACCCTGCAAAGCCCTGATTTAAAAATGTAATAGATGAATTGTGGATCTGTCAAATTTTATACTAACTTGGTGCCCGCTCTCAAAGAACGTGCACATACTGTGAGAAAGATCTATAGGGGACAACCCCAGAGTAACTGGCCTACAAGGAAAGTTCTTGCTTAATCCATGATAATTAATGCTGTCAAGCGGATTTTCTCATTTCACTGATAGGCTTTACAATAGATCCACGAATATCACCCAATGCTTAAAATTAAAGCAATCCATACCCCAGGTGAAGGCCTTTGCTTCTTTAAGTTCTTTATTTACCAGTTTCTATTACAGAAGCAGTTTGGTGCTTTAAGAATGAGTTACAAAATCTTTTCTACGTCAGGTAAGGTCAATTCCTGATTTTCACTTTTTTCTTCTTTCAGAGAGAGGAAGTGTGAATTGCAAAAATCAGACCAAAATGCTGTTCAAGTTTAATCAGTGGCAGCGTAACAGTTAAATCCCTAATAAGAGACATTTAGTCAGAATGAATCAGAAAACTTTAAAAATCAATCAAATCACACAGAGAGAAGTTGCTATACCTGTTTTGAAGAATGTACAACATATGCTGGCCCAACAAACACACCTCAGTGTGAAGCCTTCTGCCAAACCTTAGCTGTCTTCTTACCTGCTCCCCTCCCATGTTGACTAAAAGCTCGGTGCCATCAGGACTGAAGGTCACGTATGTGGCCACCAGAACTCTCAGTCGGTTGTTGTAGTCTGGAAGTTTCACTGGGAGGTGCCCTGAGGAGGGAAGAGGTCCATACAGATCAGTGTAACTAGTAACTGTCATCTTTGTCCTATCCCAGCTGCTCTATTTTACAAGAGGTTGTTGAGAGAGCAAGGTCATAAAATACAAGCACCTAAGGTATTTTTCACGTTCCTGCTGCTGTTTATTAAATCCTTTCATGGGCCACCGAAATACTCGGATGCACACAACTGTCTTTCCACAAATTCTAGTTACCATTTTTCAATGCGATCTCCATATGAACAGAAGACTGGTTTCTAGCTAGCTTACTAACTCTGAAGTTTGCAGAATCCAGCAAATCTCAGTTTCAGGGATTCACTAAGTATCAGCTTCTGTGATTTGTGGCCAACTGCAAGCAGCAGCATCTTCGACCCTCTAATCACGTTTCCTTAACAAAGCTCTCAACACAATCAAACTCGAGCTCCTAAATATTCAGCTCACACAAGGGTTCTTTTGCTTCAGTCTGGAAATGTCTTGCATGACTAATTCAGGGGACCTAAGAAATCCTCTAGTGGGACTCATCATAAGCAAGATTGTCAAACCTGGTCTGCTGAACATGCTGGTCTAAGATACTTAAAAAAAACCAAATATTTTGGGTGGAGAAAAAAAAAATCAGTACTGCGGAAGAATGCCATCTAGGTTGCTCAGGATCTGCATCTCATTTTTCCTTTACAGGATGAAGAAAAAGATTCCTTCCAAAAAGATTTTAAACAGCAGCCTTGATGGGACCAGTCCCAGAAGAAAGTCTGTAGCCCCAAGGATTATCCAATCCTTGATTTTTTTTCCAATAAAGCTGACAAAAGACATTTATGCTAGACAAGAAGGAGTAAGGCCAGCTCACCAACACATTCTACTGCCAAATGAGGGAATGTGGGTAGGTAACATACTCGAGCAAAAATTCACAACATAGAAGTGAGAGAATCTACAACTCCATGAAACATTGCGGCGTTAGAGAAAAGCTCTCCCAAGCAGTGGTTTCTGGTGCGATGGATAGAAAATTCAGTTTCTTTAGTCTTTAATTTTTCCAGTCTCATCTGTCACCTCCCAGCAGAGGTCCCCATACCTGCCACGTAGTACTGAGCTGCACCATCCGGGAGGGGTTTCTGCCGGTCGCAGAACGTGTGCACTCCAGCTGAAGGACTCTGCTTCATGCTTTTCCTAGCCAGAAAGAAGAGTATCTTATAATCACAGCACTAACTGCTGGAAGCCTAATCTATCCTGACACTTCTTGTTCACACACAAGGCAAGGCCACACGCTTAGACAACTGTGCAGTCACAAACCTGCATCGCACCACCCAAGAGTACTTAGGTGCATCAAAGAGTGTGTGCATAGAAAAGACTTGGTCGAACTGCGTGGTGGGACACATGAACTCCTTGCAATGTCCCCTCTCCACCAGAGCCTTTAACAGGTCCCTGCACCACTCGTGTCAGCCGAAGACGTCCAGAAGAGCCAGTTGCCATTACCTGTGGTTGTGGATCATGCGTATGTCGTACAGCCGCACGAAGGGCTCATTTGCCCCCACCGCTAAGTAGTTGTTATCTTGGGGGTTGACTGTGAGACATTTGGCCTCCACCAGCTCCCCACAATACTCGGTCAAGTCTATTAGGACTTCTGAACGTTTGCTGTTCTCCCGCAGATCGTACTGTCTGCAAAGGGAACAGAGTCAGGTGAAATACGTCATGAGAAAACAGAAATAGCAGAAAGGGAGAGTTTAGCTTTCCATGGCGACCAAACTGAAAATGGCTCAAGACACCACATTCATACAGCTCAGTGGTAACGTACATTTAACTATCTGGCTTGTGTACGAAGAGATGACACTAAGTACGAAGTCATTCGTGTCACAGGTTCCTGGGAGCACCTCAATTCAGTATGCACTAAGTCTCAGTATCAGCATAATCGCTAAAAACAACTCTGCAACGTGCACAGATTTATTCAAGCTCCAAATTTAAACTCCAAGTTGTGACCTAACAAACAGTATCTAGTTGGCAACCGGAACAGATTCAGATGGTAACACCTACTCATTTCAGTCTCAATGACTTCGGAGAGAAACTCCACTCTTACATCTGCCTTCCTCCCATTTGATTTGGCTGTTCCTCTCTTGGCCTCCCATTTTCAGCAGAGGAAAATACTCTCCCCAGATTCTCTATTTATCAAAGGAGTCCACATTTCAAAATGAAACCTTACAGTTTCAGGAAAGAGAAAGATTACCTATCTTAAACTCTTCACAGAACCACAGAATAGCTGGGATTGGAAGGGATTTCTGGAGGCCACCTGATCTATAGCTCCTTGCTCTGACAGGGTCAGCATAGAGCAGGTTGCCCAGGACTACGTCCTGCTGGGTTTTGAACATCTCCAAGGACGGAGACTTCGTAGACACTCTCAGCAATGTGCCCCCAGCTGCTTAGCATAGAGACAGTCTCTCATTAGGTCTACGCATATAGTGTGAAGAATCTTAGTCCGATTCATTTTGGGCAGAATGATTAGGGTCCTGTACCTGATTAGCCCATCCTCTGCTGCACTCCAGAAGGTGTTTGGCCACATGGGAGCTGTGGCAATTCGCTTAACCCTGTTGGTGTGATCTCCAAACATGTGGATGGTCTCCTTGACAGTCAAGTCATGGACGTGCACCTTGGAATCTGCAGCTCCCGTGATGAGGATGCGATCCCCTGAATGCGGCAAGAACTGTGGAAGACAGACTTGACATTTAAACTGGAGAAGTGCTGGGGCTCTACATATCTCACTCACCTTCCTCGCAGGCCAGAGAGAAAGCAGCTTGCTTTAGGAAAGCAAGCTTTACTGCATCCCCCATATATGATATGGGGCACTCAAGAGTCACAAACTACAGCAACGACCGTTTCATCAAACCTCTTTTGCTACAGCCATTTTCTTTGGTTTTACATAGGTAAGTAGCGAAGTCCAGGAGCAGCATAAACTAAGAGGAACAAGTATTACATTTAATACAGTATCTCTTAACCTTCGAAATACTAAATTACTTCCTTGGGAAAATGGCTTGCACACAAAGGGTTTCCCAGCAACATTTGAAGATCTACTCTCATGCTGCTTAAGCTGCTGATTTTGTGCTAGCCATTTATTCCTCCTAATCACATACCTTGACAGAAAAGATATTTGCGGTATGCCCTGTGTGCATAGAAAGGAGCTTCTTGTGATGCAGAGGATCCCAGACAATCGTATGCTGATCATCAGATCCAGAGGCCAGCAAGCTAAAAGACACAGAAAAGGAGAATTTTCAGTTTGTGTTCCTCTGTTCCAAGCTACAACCAGTTTTTCAGAGCGGTTTAACCCCTTTAAGTTGACCACTAAGTCAGCTCAAGAAATCTCCTTACCGCCCTTTCTCAAATATATATTTGTGTTATTTCCTATGTGCCAATCCCACACAGCCAGTTGAGGGAGCTACACTAGGCAAATGTCAACTCCACAGGGAAAAAAAACAATAAAATCCATTCCATAGAAAATAAAGCACATGTTTTTAGGCCCTTCGACCATCTCACCAGAGGTTCAGATGGCACAATGGAAACAATAAGAAATGTGGTCAACAACAAAAAACAGGGCCTCCATTTTCCATGTTAGCCTGGCTGCGTTAACTGCATCCACACCAACCTCAAACCCAAGCCAAACTATTCCCAGACCCAAGCAGCCCAAGCCAGAACCCATTCAGTGAGTCCAAACTGATTGTTAAGTGCAGGGTGTGCCTGTGGTACTGCAAGGAGTTGTTTTGTCTTGTACATCTGTCTTCTGCTGCAGCAAATAAATTTGACATCTGCCACCATCAGCTGTTTCAAACTTACTTCTTTAGGAACAGCTCACTTTCAGGTACATGAAACTGCCACTAGCAAATAATTTGGAAGATTATCAGGCAGCAGACTTTGGGTCTTAGGGAAGTATGTCAAGAACTACAGGATCTTCCTTTCTACCCAGTTATTTCTCATGCAGACATTGTTTACTCCACTTGGTTAACAAAAAAGCTCCTATTTTCCTCTAAAGTTGCAAAGAGGGGTGAATGTTCTACCTTCCTCCCTTATACATTTGTCCCCCAGCAAAAGCTTTTCACAGCACAGGCAGTAGGGAAACATTCCTTCAAATCAACTGGGCAAATCCTAAAGATTCATTATAATCTGTAACACCACTTAAAAGAAAAGAACCAGCCTTTAATCTCTACCTCTTAATCTGTTTCCCTTCTGAACTCATTAAAAGGGCACATCTAATAATATCTAGATATATTAACAAAATAAAACCTCTTTTGAAGTGTGAGCTCCTAAACTTTGAGCTTCATTCCATATTCGTTTTACTAGGAATAGGAAAGGGCTGCTTAGAGTAAAATGACCTCTACACTCTTGGGAGAACCTGGCTTACCAGTTTGCAGATCCCCTGAATCAAGGCATGTACTTACTCTCCTTTTTCATTCCATTCTAGACAGTTGACACACCCAGAGTGACCCTGAGCAGAAAAAAAAAAAAAAAAAGGGAAGAGAGTATTACACAAACTTCAGACTTATCAAACAGGGCTGTTCTGAGACAAGGACACAGTGAGCTCCCCATACACAACTTGTTCCAATACAAGCAGCTTTTTATTCCAACCCTGGAAAAAAAAAAGGGAAAAAAGAAGAAAGAAAAGAAAAAACACCCACATGGCAGATAAGCACCTCCAGAGAAGAAAGACACCCTGTAACAGTTGGGGGAAAAAGGCAAAAATGAAACAAACAAAAAAAAAGTAGTAGTGTTGAAAAAAAGGCAGTTCAGTCTCAGAGGCTACTGGTGAAATCCTACTGTGTGCAGGAGAAGGTGACTTTGTTTCAAAAGCCCTTGGCTAGACTGACAAATTGCATGTACAAGTTCTCTGGGAATGCAGAGAAAATGCACTTTTGATAACTCTTTTTGAAGCACCTTGCTGCTGGGTGACTACATTGTACCTCCCCAGACAAACTAGCTAACAAATGTAACAGAAAGAGACTAAGATAGCACTGAAGAGCACTTGATTGGGGAGACTTGCTTGAGAAGGGGACAGAAGAACTCGTGTCCTCCAAACCAGGACAATCTTAAGCTCTTCTCAAGTTGTATCAGTTGCAGTGCAATAATTGGTGCTTTAGACATTACAGTCTTCACTATTAGAGCTGAATATCTTGATGGCTGGCAGTTAAGGGCAGTTTGCCTTGTTCAGACACTCCAGTTAGGATTAGTTGATAGACACCAGTTGAAGGCTTTGTGTAGGTGCATTAGCTAACCCAGAAAGCTCACACAGGATCACACAGAAATATTCCGGTCTCTGATGCAGGGGAACAACTAAACAGTGTATCTCTTCCAAACAAGGGAAGGAAGCCCCCGCAGCCCAGCATGCCGCATTTCCTACAGTTTACTGCAGGACAAGGAGCACATTTTGTTCTTTAAACACTGAGCACTTACCTGCAATTCTGCTTCCAGGCCCAGGCGGCGAATGAAGGGATCGGTGACATGATAGTGGCGTTCAAAGCCTAGCGCACCCCTCTCCTGCACAAAGCAAATACAGGTCACGCTGACTACACCAAACAAAACATCTTCTCCTGGACCTTGCCAGATATTGGGGGTATCCTTCAAATCAGACCCAGGTAAGGGGTTTGTAACCCTTCCTGGAGAGGCTCACCCCAAGACAGAAATAAGTTGCCTGGTTTTGGACAGAAACGGAAGATAAAAAGAGCTTGAGGATGCCTGTCTCTGTTCCTAGCAAGGATTTCAGAAAGGAGCGAAGTCTGCCATTATACAGTATCCCAGTATTCCCAGGACATTCTCACTATTCCCTGAGCCCACTCCCAGGAAGAACACAAGTGCTGGGGTCCTAACTGGACAGTATCCTTTAAGATGGCTTGCTTCATCAGAAACGGAGCTGCAGAACCACAGCACGGGCTGTTCCGCAGGGACGAGGACAGCTGCCACATAAGCACGTCGGGACAAATGAAGGTGAAGAAAAGCAGGACAGTTGTTTCCCCTGTGATCTCACAGGGTTCACAGATGCATTAGCAGATGGCTTGGATGAAAGACAGACAACTGCAGAGGCAGAAGTGAAGGGAGTGCAAGTTGTATTTTGGATGGAACAGCTAACGACTGGAGGAGGTTCCTTCCTGAGACACCTGGCTCGGTCTCAGTCCTGCCCAGCGCCACGTAACAGTCCCACAAAGACTATTTAAGCCTCTGTTTATCACCATTTATAGATGAGAATGTTAACAGCCAAGAGACTGTAGTTATGGTGCTAGGAACATGTTAGTAGCTACAGAATGGACACAAGGAAGGGAATGATTGTACCAAGCTATAGCTCTGCAGACCACTGTTAAATAATCAACTCCAGATACTACAGGCTATTTGAAATCAAAACAGAGACACAAGGTGCTGCGGAGTCGGGGGAAAGAACACGAAGCAAGAGAGGCTTTTTTTAGTAGCTTACATTGCAAACTTCACCCCCTTTACGTGTTTTTATGCATTCACTAACACACCGCTTTCGGCGGTGCTGATTATCGGCAAAGCTGCAAGTGATTTGAGGTCTGCAAGTCCAAGTAATAATTGCCCATTGTGCCTGCTGCAGCTAGTCCTTTCACATTAAGGGATATTTCATTAATGCAGCCTTCAGATGACTGATCTGACCACAGCAGAAGTTTTTCGCTACACAAAGGGAAGCAAAACATACCAGTCCAAGGAAAGAAGGAAAAAAAAAAAAAAAAAGAGTGGGGGGAAATCATTTGCTCTACTAGAGCCAGACAATCTTTGATGGCAAGATCACACAGAAAGAAAGAAAATGCAAAGCAGACAGAAAACTCACGAGGAAAGCTAGTTAAGAGTCCTTTACATTACCAAAAGCACAAGTCGACAGATTTCTCTCTACAACTTTTTAATCTAAAGGAAGAGACCTGCTAATGTCAAAGTATCAAGATGCATTCCTTCTAGGGAAAAGGACTATGTTCTTGTCCTACTGTAAGTTCATCCCAGCTCTTCACTAATGAGGGCAATAGGGTTTATGCATTTGTCTCTTCAGCTTTTTACACAGCTTATCAATATCTGAGCAGCAGACACCTCTTCAGAAGTGAAAGGAAATAGTCTGACTATTTCCTGACCCAGCGTGACACCAATTCTCTACCCGCTCTCCACCCTCCATGGGAGAACATTTGGTTAACACATACCTTGATTTGCCTGTGAATGATGTCTCGAGTAATGTTTACTTTTGCCATCTTCTTCCAGGGGGACAGAGTAAAAGAAGCTATGGGAAGAGCTACTGTGCAACCGGGTTTGCCAACGGAGCAGAGATCCACAGTAAGGGCATTTAATTACCTGCAGGACCAAAAAAAAAAAAAAAAACTGAACAAATCTGGCGTTCAAACATATTTGGCCATTTATACCATTTATATACAATATACATATCAGCAGAGAACTTGCAATTCCAGGAGCACATCCTGCCCCACTGCCTTTCTTCCCCCTTTACACTTGCAACCACTTCAATCCAATCTCACTTTTCCCAGTCCCCAGACTCCAAAACAAACACACGTAATGACACGGACAGTCTTCCTGGCATGGATACTTTTTTGGCCATCTCTTCAGACAAGCACTAAAAAGGTTTGCAACTGAGCACGAGAGATTCACTTACCACATTTGATCATCAGCCAAACACAACAACTAAAAGAGCACAAGCTCTTAGAAATCATAACAACCAACCATCAAGCAACGCTATCATCTGAACACCTGATTATATCAGCAACAGAAAACGGATAATCTTTTAAATCTGCATTTCCAAGAATAATTTGCCTTTTCCACATTGCTAGCCCAGTTCTGCATTTCACGCACTATCCAAGCTCAGTGAAACCCTACAAAGTTACTCTGACAAAACAATCAGTTTGCAAAGTGTTTCTGCCAACGAGCTGCCCAGCAAAGTACCAGCTACCCTAACAAATGGTACCATTCACCCCCTTTACATACTGCAGGCCAGGCACTATCCTACTTACATAGTCCTACAAGTTGCTTTAAAGAGAAATTGTATTTTAAATATCCATTTTTGTCCTGCATATGCTAGTAGCTTTCAGTTCTCACTAACAAGCATCCACAAGCAGAACAGGCCCAAGTTTTCAAATGGCTCCTCTTTTGACCGAGGGAAACGCTGATTCACTGAAACAAGAACATTTCAGCTACATTTCACAGCTCACCCAAGAGAGGCCCAGCTGCTCGTGAGCCTGTGAAGATAAACGTGTCCTACCAAGATCACACAAGACTGGGCGCCCTTATGGTAGCGTTTGAAGCTCATTTTACGTGTATGATGAGAAATGAGTTGATAAAATCCACACACAGAGAATATAGGCCTTGAATGCAGGGAGGAGAGGTGATTTTGCACCGCGCGTGTTCTCAGCCCAAGCACAACGAGGCCTTCCTGCCACCAGGGCCAGTTCGTCTCCAACATAAGCCCAGCAGGCCAAATTCACCACAAAGGCAGCACAAGCAGCTGGTAAGCTGAAGGATTGGGCCAACCAGGGCTCCTGCACAACCCGTTCACCTGCCAGCCTGGAATTGTCCTCTCCACCAGAGTTGGCATGCATTTATTTACCCCATTTACTGTCACGTATGTCTTTAATCCACATCTCTTCTATTCCCAAAGCAGCACCCAAGGAGTTCTCAGGCATGCCCAGGAAGGCACCTCGTGTTTTAAGTGCCCTTAACCTTACTCACCCTCATGTTAAGTAATACCTGCTGCACTCCCTAGCTTCATGGCAAGCGGCAGCACTGTCAGTGCCTCTGCTCATCAATATTTCACACCAATCCTTGTAGTAGGATGATTAAGCTATCAGATTTTGATACCTATCCTCTGCTTTTTCGGGCCAGCTTACCACTGCTGTTGTTTCGCCTGTTTATGTAGGCAGAAATCAAATCATGTAGGCAGAAGAACAAAAATAACACCTGCCTTTAAGAATAACCGAACGGCAAGCAGCAAAAGGCCGTTTATTCCGTGAGCGTCCGAAGGGGAGAAGGCAGGTCCTGGCCCGCAGCGCTGACTCCGCAGCCCCGCGGCAAACACGGCCCAACAGGATGGCCAAGCAGTTCCTTGTGCCCATGCCTCTTCCCCCGTTAACCATTCCTCCTCCCCACCAGAAAGGCATCTCATTTTCCTTTAAGAGCAGTTTAATCTTCTTTTGATTTTAAGTCCCCAGGCAGACAGGTTACCAAGATGCAGCCAAGCAGGCACTTACCCACTGATAACTGACCTGTTGCTCTCTTAAGACCCCTGAAAGAATTTCACTCAAATCTCTCATCTCCTGTCCTTGCAATTTCCAAGCAGCTCCTTTTCTTTCAGTGACTACCTAGCAAAAAAACCTTTCCTTTCCTGTGGTGTAAAGGCTTGACAGAGACTGTAAAGACAGGGAGTTATGACGAAACTGCTCCTTAAGAAAGCCTTAAAGTCACTTGCTCTCCATGAAGTCCCATCTACAATTCCTTTCTCTTCTGCCACAAGATTAGACATATCCAGGATTTCCAAAGCAGACATTTATTGTGGGAATACTGAGGTACACCCAAGTTTGCCACCTCTGCGAAGACAAGCTGACTTTTAGAATCAGAAAGGTGTTGTGGAACTTCTCAACTCACCGGACAGGTCAGAGGTGTCCTAACAGATCGTTGCTCCGCAGGTCTTAACAAGATACTAACTTTATATCTTAGAAGACAAAAGTCAATTACCTCACCCATGAAATATTCCGCTTTCACCACCAAAGGGACAAAAACAGGGATTAAAACAAAATACATTTGATACCATCTTTAAACTATCCAACTAACACCAGCACCTAAGGCTCTATCCTAACAAATTATTCCGTGGCTCATAAACCCGACAGGATAACTTGTGCCTTTAGCATTTGACTATTAAAAAAATAAGTGGCTTGGAACAAACTGGTGGAATGGGAATGCATGAGTCTAAGGTGCCTCTTTTGCCTAGAGGGAGCTCAGTTTGGTGGCTGAACGTTGCAGGACGGTTAAAGGAGATGCTAGGAGCCTTTCTTGCTTTCTTGGCTGCTCAGAAGGAATTCAACCGTAAGCAGCTACAGCAGCAAAGAGTTCGGCAACCAGCACAACCAACTCATGGAATGAGGGGATTAAGTCCCAGTGACAAGGAACAATTTGAGATAAATTTGCACCATCACTACAAGCGATGGTCTCACAAGCAGCTTCACTTTGGCTATATATAAGAGATCATCTTGAGCTGTTTTCAGTCATTTCTCAGATGACACTGGAACACATTTCTCCATCACACTTTGGAAGAAGCTCTGTGCTCAATTCCAAGCCAGAGTCACCTTCCCTTGTCCCTTGCTGTTCCAAACTTGCCTGCAACACCACACAGGACTGCAAATCTGGGGTCACCACCACTGCTTCCACCTCATTCACAGAAAGGCTATCCTCAAAAAATCCACCTGAAGGGTAAAGATGACTATATCACCCGTGCTTGGCTGTAGTTCACTTATCCAGCTCTTCTGCTCCTGCAACACATATTTCCAGAGGCAGAAAAAAAAGCTTTTGCAATATTTGCCCTTTAAAGTTGCAGTCAAAAATTAACAAGTCACAGATTTCTACAGGTTGTGGCCTCAAAATCCGCTAGACACTATTGACACTGACAGTAACTTCCAGCTTCTGGAAAAGTTATCTTTCCAAGAGTGCTTCAGGGTATGGCAGGGAGTACCAGGACTCTTGCTTTTCCCAGCTAGGTCTTGCAGTCTTCCTGAAGCCCTTGCTGCAAGCCGGGAAACAAAGCCTCGGCACTCGTAAAGCAAACAGTTCAGCCCTTTCTTTTTGTTAAGCAGTCCCACCACAGCTGGGACGCGGGGCTGAGCGTTGCATGAATGAAGTTCCTCCTGGCGGGACCAGCTACGCGCGCGCACGCGGCGGCACAGGGAGCTGCTCTGCGCACCGGCGCTTCGGAACTTGGAGCCTCGAAGCCACCGCCCTTCAGAAAAGCTCCTTCGACACTAAGAATCTCCACAGAACAGCAGGAGCCATCGGTAAAGTTGGCAGCACAACTTCCAAGCATCTGGATGTGTTTCTCAGCCTCTGAACTCAAGGTCAGTGAGAAAGCAGCACTTCACACAGCACCAGGCTTTGCAGATGCGCGATCCAGCCCAACAGAACATTCTCACAACCCTTCCCCTAAACATCCATAAATTCTTTCATCACCCAGATACCACCCGTGACCCAACTCAGTCACTCAGCATGTTACTTTCTCTACTCTCCTTTTTACCCCGATTTTTCAAGAGGTCACAGGTCAAAATAAAACATATATAGTGTTAAGAAACCTAAGAGCCAGGAGGAAGCGATCTGGTTACTAATAGACACCTAGGAACAAGGTTTTCCGAGAGCTGAAGCAGTTGCCAGGAGCAGCAGTCGCTCCCAGGCCAGATGGCTCAGCCGTTCCAGTGGGATGGGGTGGCCAGGAGAAGTAGGGTCTGAGATCCGACAAGACTCACCGCACAGGGACACTAATGCCAAGGAAACAGTGCCGTGCCCGGCAGAGCGCGCGGACGGCCACCCCCTCTCTGCCATGCAAGCACTGCCCTTCCGCTGGCAGCGCCATCCTTGGGGCACGAAGGTGTGGGACACTCCTGAGGCCAGGACAAGCAGCAGCCAGCGGAGCCCCGGGGTGAGCAGACACTGTTGGAGGCACAAGGAGCGACCTCCGCTCCAAGCAAAGGGGCTGCAGGGCCCCCCTCCCGGGCCGGCAAAAGCTCCTTCCCCCAGGGAGGGGGAGAGTTTCCCGCGGGAAAGGGGACCAGTCAAAGGCAGCAGGGATCAGAGCTGGGGACAAGGGGCTGGATAAGGGGGAAGGGGGCGCTTCTTACCAGGGAGAGGGTCAGGCTGCAGGCAAGGGGGCACCCGAGGAGCTAACCGGGGGGAGGAGGGGAGTATAAGCGATAGGGAAGGGGGTGGGATACCTGGGAGGAGGGGGTCTAACTGGCAGGGAAGGAGGGGAGGTATCGGGGGGGAATAACTGACAGGAAGGGGATAAGTGACAGGGAAGGTGGCCCGGGAAGCCGAGGGGGCGGGGAGGGGCGGCGCGGCCCGGGGCACCGTTACCTGTCAGGCCTCCCGGGTACGGGCGCTGGAAGTTGCGAGGCTCCATCCATG